GACACGCTGATTTAAGCCACTAAGAACCCAGACTATGAGATTAAGGCCATATGCAGGCATCAATCGAGACAAATGACGTGAGTGAGGTATGTTAAAGCCTACCCAGGGAAATCCTCTATTGGAAGCTTTAACCCTAACAATAACGAGAAGATACTCAACAGAGTTTGGTGAACAATTATAGTACAAAGCAACTACGGAAGAGTAGTGAAAGTAAAGAAGCAAGGAGAACACCATAGGAAGTTACAGAATCAAAATGGTGGTCATCGACCGAGCGATGTATCTGTCAAGGAAGTTAGCTAGGACGGACCAAAGCAGGAATATAACAAACAACAAGGAAGCATTAGGTTGATTACCAGTAGAGAACAATCAATCCATAGGAAGTCCATCAAGAAAGTAAGGTGGAATCGTTCGTTAAGAATAGTCGAAGGGAGAACCTTATCAGTCAAGGTGCATAAGTGAGAAGAGGATATAGGAACCTGGAGAACTAAGTCATGATCAAGGAACACTAAAACCTAGAAAGGAACATCAAGAAGAAGAGTCACGAGTAACGAAGTAAGAGACATATAAGTTTAGGGAACTGCTAGAATACCCCAAAGTGAAACCAAGATTGCCTATGCTGGTGAAAGGTGTCAATCTCTCGGGTAAAACTCTATTGGAGGGGGAAACCGTACGAGAAATTTCAGCTAGGGTCTAAGAGTAGCAGAATGGATAGTACGAGAACTTCAAATTCAGGTGGCGATAAGGAAATGCTAAGTTAGGTGCCAGGAGTGAACAAGTAAGCCAAAGAGAAGTTCATGACTCTTGAAGGGAGTCATACAGTTGTTAGCAAGCTAGAGAAAGATGCAAAGGATGCCTTTAATGCATACAGGAAGTAAAAGCAGTAGTATGAGGTTTCAGAGTTAAGCAAGAAGTAACGAGGAGATGACCACTCAGTTTATGGTTAAAGGACAAGATAAAGTACCGAGGAAGAAAGTAAGAGATGCAAAGCGAGGATATACAAGGACGTAGGTGACCGATGTGGTCAACCATGGACGAGAATTACGTTAGAAGAGTTTTGCAGTTAACAAGAAGGAGGTTAAGCCGCCATCAACAATCTTGGGGTTCAAAGTGGCATTACCTTCTTATGTACCAAATGATGGAGATAGTGGATGCCTTAGGGACGTTCATGGTACATAACCGATGTGAAGGAGGTAAGAAGCAGGAGATAACAGAGTATTACCAAGCAAGTTGAACGCTCACCCAGGATGTTACAAGATGCTTTGAGTAAAGTACCACAATGTTGTAGAAATTCATGAGAAATGAGTGAACTACCAGTCTGCTAGAATCACATCTTATTGGAGGGAAAGATTTATAGCTCAATGTCGTACAAGTTAAGGGAGGTACATTTCCTTGTAAAAAGATTATCACCAGTGAAATGTTGAGTCATCACGAAGAACAAATTTCGAGGTCGAAATTTTTCGTAAGGAGGGGGAAAATGTGATACCTTGATGTTGATTTAAGGTCGAACAATAAATTGAAGCGAAATTTCGCCTCATCACACCCTGGGCCCAAATTGCGGAATTAAACAGGACAAGTAGTCGCTCAAAGCTACTCGATGCTAACGAGCTTGGAGGGAATACCTCTTAGACGGGACAAGCAGCGGACAACATCGGAGTTCATATAACGACAATAAATCCTAGAGTCAAGGAAGTACAAGAATAAGGTATTTGGAAGTATAAGTCCGAGCAAATTTCGGGGTCGAAATTTTTATAAGGGTGGAGGAAATGTAACACCTCGACATTTGGGTTAGGTTCGACTGATAATCAAGACAGTTTGGGTAATGTAATACCCACTATGAATTGGAAGTTTTATTTTAATTAATTTCTTGATTAATCCTAATTTAGGATTATAGATTTTAATTAAAAAATAGTAAAACAATCCCCCAACCCGTCCTATTAAGTATTAACCCCCTCCCTAAACCTAATATATATATATATGGTTCAGGCTAGCATACGCCCCGGGCGTACGTTAGACTACCGTACACCCGTTTGAGTTTTGCTATTTAGATCATGAATTAATCGGAGTTTTGGGCATGATACTATACCCTAACCACTAATGGATAAACCCTAGTCCCTGGTTTTCTAACCCAAATCATGAGATTCGTTTAATCTTAAAATGAAAATCAACAATAATTTCGACGAATCAGAACCGTTGATTTTTATTTCAAGATTAAATGAATATTATGCTTTGGGTTAGTGAATCGCAGACTGGGGTTCACCCATTAGGAGTTAGGGTATAGTATCATGGCTCAAAGTCCGGTTAATTCATTGTCTAAATAGCAAAACTCAACGGGCGTGCGGTAGACTAAGGTACGTCCGGGCGTATGCTAGCCTTTGCCATATATATATATATATATATATATATATATATATATATATATATATATATATATATATATATATATATATGGCAAAGGCTAGCATACGCCCGGACGTACCTTAGTCTACCGCACGCCCGTTGAGTTTTGCTATTTAGACAATGAATTAACCGGACTTTGAGCCATGATACTATACCCGTACTCCTAATGAGTGAACCCCAGTCTGCAATTCACTAACCCAATTCACTAAGGTACCTTGATGATCTTAACCGTACGTGTGATCTCGACGGCTGAGATTAAATTTTATTAAATGATTTGTTTTTTCGGATTTATATTAAATAAAATTACAGATCAACTCATAGAATTAGTTTTTCTTTCATTTTAGTCCTCTATGTCCGTGGGTTGGTTAGTTTGATTTGGGTTGGGTTTTTTCAATATTTTGATTGAACCCAAATTCAACCACCCCAAAACATAAAGGGTACCTACCCCATCCAACCTACCACCACTTCGTTCCCCCCCTCCCGACCCTCTCTTCTCCGCTGCTACACGCCGATACCTTAATCCCCTATCCTCTTCCCCTGTTCCTCCGTCCTCCGCCGCTAGACGCCGCTAGCCCTCTCCCTACCCTTTCTAATCTCCCTTGTCGGCCCCAAATTCATCGCTCACCAACAACTTAGATTCTCCTTGCGGAAGGGATTTCGAATCCTTGCAACCAGAAGAAGAAGGAAGGGTTCTCCTCTGCTCGCTTTTTCTGGCGATTGGCGTTATGGCTTCTCGAACGAGTTGCAGAGACCTTCGTCGAAAGAAAAAGGGGTGACCTCCCCACCGGAGAGTCCTCCCACGACGATACAAATGCTCTTTGATGACTCCGACGCCATTAGCCTCCCTTCCAAGTTCCGTCACTAACAGATCAACGGCGGCGCCTCAATGTTCTATCATTGATGATGTCAAACCTTCCTGGGTCAAGTTCTGCGAATTTTGTTTATCGCACATATTTGTGTTAAAACTAGATATGCCATACCCTCAAAATCAATAATAGGACCATGTTGTATCGGTATGCTATTATGGAAATTTTGTGGATTTATGTGGAGCAGAAAACTGAAGTTTGAATTTGAAAAGAAAAAGAACTGAAATTTGAATTACGCCGAGGAAGAAGACGATCGAAGTGAAGCTTCTGATCGTTTCTCAACCACTCACGAGATGGAATGTGGGCTAGTTTCCATAAACTTAGCATACAAACAAGAAACGTTGGCAAACTTAGTGGTTAAGCTAGTAGTTTACTATTAAGTTTGCTAGAATAGGTGTAGGGTTCGAATACTAGTTTCAACCATTATATTTAGTTTTTTTATAATTTCATTTGAAATCACTTGTTCATAGTTGATTACCCTCTCCTTGCTAGTCAAGTTTTTGGAAAAAATTTCATTTTTCTATTTAGAATTTTATTTTACAACTATTCATAAATAGTAATTCTACACAACATGTCATTTTTGTCACACACCACCGTTGTGCCCACCTCCACCTTGCAACTTTGCGTTAACCCAAAACTAGTACAAAGGACTAGTACATCCCAAAACAAACCTTTGTTAAACCACGTGAAAGGGCATTTGTAGTGCAGTTGATGACTCTGTATTTGCACCGCCTGACCCGTACATCATCATTCACCCTTGATCTGGTAACTTCGTTCTACCCTCCTTATCTTTCCTCCATTGAGGACAATGTCGTGCTTAAGTGTGGGGGGATGTTCGATTATGTATGCGGGTGAATGTTTAGCTGTTTGTGTGCTTGGAGCCTAGTCCACTGTCCAAATTTTTAAATTTGAGGGCTCCAAGTACGTGTTCCTTGCAATTGCCTGCTCAGTATGCTTTGAATTGACAGTCTCTGTAGTGATTTTCAACCTAGGGAGGTAGTGTAGCACTATGGAGGATGTTGATGCATTTAAGAAGTCTCATTTCTTCTTCATATTGTGTTGGTTGATTGAGTGAATTAGTGATCTTAGGACCCTTGAATTGTGTGGTGTTGTAGACTCTCTGCCTGTCATGGACTCTTGTATCATGTTTTGGAAATAACAGGTGCTCGAAATTGTGCTTTAAAATAACGTCTCCCGTGCGAATAGGGTGAAAGTGTGTAAGGGGAGACGGGAATCCGTTCCCAATTTCCACCTACTACCTCCAGCCTCCTTACATGTCTTTCCCCCGCACGAGGCTCGCGACAACTGCTCCTGGCATGGCCGGTAAGAGCCGGGCTCCCGCAAAACCTTTGCTAGGTGGGAGCCCCCGTTTTCTGCAAAAACAGGTTGGACCCTTGAAAAAAAAAGACAAAACAGAAAAACAAGCAAAAAGAAGAAAGAAAAGGGGTTCCAACCAGTTTCAAAAAGAAAATCGAGCACCTGGAATTAATGTGAGTCCATGATCTTTGTTTTTTAGAGTCTCTGCATCCACGATTCATTTGTCCTCTGTTCACTATTTACCATGATGCCGACTCGAGACTAGTGCTCTCGCCGAAGAAGTTATGAGATGACTTGTGCGTCGGTTGACCTCGTAAGCTGCTAAATGATCTGGGAAGTCCTCTACCTACGATCTGGGGTGTTTGTTGCTATAGAGGTCTGGAGAGTTGCATTGGTTTGAGTTAGGTTTGCTTGGGGACAAGCAAACAGTTAAGTGTGGGGGGATTTGATGACTCGGTATTTGCACATGTTTTCCCCTTTGTTTCTTGATTGTTTGAGCTTGAATTATCGCGTCTTTGGCCTATTTTATGCTAGGTTGTGTTCCTTTGTCACATTTCAGGTCCTAGCACATAAAGTGAAGCATAGGCGCAAGTTTCAAGTCAATCAGAGATCAATTGACAATTCGGGAGAAGAAACTCGGGCATGACCTGAAGAAGAATGGATTTCTACCCCACTTAATGGACAAAGAATCATGCAAGCTTGTCATGAAAAGAAAGAGGACGAGACTACGAGCGTCTGGGATCAAACGGCGACTGATTCGGAGTCCGGACGAGGGAGAAACGAAGCATTGAATATAGGGGAACAGGTTCGGCAGTAAAAACACGGGCGCGCCTAAATCAAAACACGGCCGTGCCCATATTTAGGCATGACCGTGTTTTGACCGACGCGACCGAGCGTGTTTTTAACACGGGGGCAAAACACGGGCGGGCAAAACCAAAGCACGGCCGTGCCCGCGACCGTGTTTTGCCCAGAATCGGGTTTTTTAACCCAAATTCGAGCCAAAGGAGAGAGAGAGCTGGGTTTTGGATCCCAAACACCCAAGGGACGAACCAAAGAGAGAGAGGGCGATTTGAGGGCATTCTTGGAGTGGAATTGGAGGATTTCTTCGCCTTGGAAGCTCGAGGAACAAGCCCAGACTTGAAGACTGATCATCTGAAGATTCTTACTGCAGTCTCTCTCTTCTCTATGGAGTAACTTCCCTTCACTTAGGTTTTGAGGAACCCTAGCTATGTCTGTTTGATTGGATGATTGTATGAGTACTTTGACTTGATAATCTTGAGTTCATATTCAATCTATGCATGTTTTCACGATTCAATTCTGCTTTAGTCGAGATTATTGATTCTGCTTTGATCCTATGAGAGCGAATACCTGATTAGGTCAATAGAGCACCATAGATTGATAGTAGTGGATCGATTGCTTTAGTCGAGGGTTGATTCACTGCTTTGTATCGATTGAGAACCTCATTCGATAGAGGGAGTCTAGTTCAGAACGCCTTGATCGATTGTTCTAGAGAAGGATACGTCCCTCTAGGCAATTGACTCAAGAGGGCCTTGTTCCTTTAGTCGAGACTCAAGGTCTAGTCAAGGATTCTCCGCATTGTGAATGAAAGTGAAACAAGTTAGAGATCATCAATCTTTAATCTGGCTAGTGGCTAGGGGGAATCATACCTAAGTGAGTTCCCAACCTGTAATTAGATTAACTTTAACTGTAGTTTGTTAGAGTAGTTTTAGTTCTTTCATCTTAATCTGGTTTGCTAGATAATGAATTGAAGCTGAGTAATAGTAACTCTAGAGACCCGTGGATTCGATATTTATTACTTGAGCCACTATACTGCAGTCCCTTTCATTGGTTACACTTGGCCTTTGTTAGGAGTTGTGTCATAGCGAGTCAAGTTTTTGGCGCCGTTGCCGGGGACTTTCTAGATTATTTGGAAAGGCAGAAGTTTGTTACTTTAGCATTTTTCTTTTCTTTTCCACCCTTGCTTTTCACTTGGGTGTTTTTTGTTTTTGTTGGTGCAGATCTGAATCATGGATCCTCATGGCTTCTCCAATCATTGGGGGTATCCACCACCATCCGAGTGGTATTACCCCGAGACCCCCTGGAGCAATCAAGGAGGAGAAGACTATGGATTCGGGTTCCAGTACCAACCCCCTTACTACGGAGAACAATCTGACCCCTGGGCATATCAAGAACAATCTCATTACCAAGAAGACTTTCTCCCACAACCAGAAGGGCCATCAGCGCTGGAGTTACCCATGGCGGCCTTCACGGGCCATTCTGCAGAGCCATGCTACACTCCACAGCCAGATCCAAACTATGAACTGAGGCTTCTCCTGGAGCAGTTTGTTCGGGACTCCGAGAGACGCAATCGCAAGATGGATCTTCAAATCCAATCCCTTTCCTCTTCCGATCCCTCATTTCTCCATGATATGGAGGAGGCTGTTCAACGCTCAGCGAAGCAAACAGAGTGGGTGGAGCAAGTTTGTGCACAGCTTGCTCAAGATCACCCGTCTGCTACCATACTAGAGGAGGAGGAAGAAGAAGAAGGCTACAAGGACATTGTGGAGCAAACAGAAGTTATCACGGAGAGCTCACGTGAAAATCATGATCAAGAATGTCCTATCGTAGCCGACTACCCCTTCCCGCACCCCACACTGAGCTTTGAAGAGGTGGGCATGAGTGAGGAGATGCAAGAAGATCTCATGAGAGAAATTGCTTGGCAACTTGCTCTCCAATCCGTGCTAGAAGAAGAAGAGCAAGCAAGGGTGCAGCAAGAAGTTGTGGAGGATGACGAAAGTGAAGCAGGAGAAGTTCTTGATCATTTCCCAGGGGTGATACCACATGAAGAAGAAAGGGAGGTTGAAGAAGCAATTGGCGTCCAGGCTGAGGACGGAGTTAAGGTGGAAGAGGCCTGCACCGGCCATGAGTTACATGTGATATCTCCACCAAACTTCGAGGAGCTGCTTGGCAAGGACCCATTTGCAGTGTCTCTTTGCCAGACCAAGGCCACTTCGACATCGGTCCCTCTTGGTGGACGCGGTGGTGGCCAATCGATGCTGTCTTATCTGGTTTGGGGCAATGAGACGAGAGAAGAGAAGAAGAGGTCTCGAGGGTGGAGACTTCATCTGCATCAAGTGCACGAGCCTTCATCACCCGCCACACCACATGCTCGTGACTTGCGACTCCACCTCATTGACGAGAACCTCAACTTCAAGGAGGTTCTAGCATGGACCGAAACTTAGGAGCCATCGTCCGGCTCACGATGTGAAAGAAGCGCTTGTTGGGAGGCAACCCAACCAGTCGGTTTGCATTTCTTTCTCTATTTATCCTCGGTTGAGTCAGTTTTGTTATTTGATTTTAGAGTCAATAACTCAACCTTTGTGAGATTTTGTGTGGTGTTTGTGTTCTGATTACTCTCTCTTCCTGGAATGCACCGCCTGACCCGTACATCATCATTCACCCTTGATCTGGTAACTTCGTTCTACCCTCCTTATCTTTCCTCCATTGAGGACAATGTCGTGCTTAAGTGTGGGGGGATGTTCGATTATGTATGCGGGTGAATGTTTAGCTGTTTGTGTGCTTGGAGCCTAGTCCACTGTCCAAATTTTTAAATTTGAGGGCTCCAAGTACGTGTTCCTTGCAATTGCCTGCTCAGTATGCTTTGAATTGACAGTCTCTGTAGTGATTTTCAACCTAGGGAGGTAGTGTAGCACTATGGAGGATGTTGATGCATTTAAGAAGTCTCATTTCTTCTTCATATTGTGTTGGTTGATTGAGTGAATTAGTGATCTTAGGACCCTTGAATTGTGTGGTGTTGTAGACTCTCTGCCTGTCATGGACTCTTGTATCATGTTTTGGAAATAACAGGTGCTCGAAATTGTGCTTTAAAATAACGTCTCCCGTGCGAATAGGGTGAAAGTGTGTAAGGGGAGACGGGAATCCGTTCCCAATTTCCACCTACTACCTCCAGCCTCCTTACATGTCTTTCCCCCGCACGAGGCTCGAGACAACTGCTCCTGGCATGGCCGGTAAGAGCCGGGCTCCCGCAAAACCTTTGCTAGGTGGGAGCCCCCGTTTTCTGCAAAAACAGGTTGGACCCTTGAAAAAAAAAGACAAAACAGAAAAACAAGCAAAAAGAAGAAAGAAAAGGGGTTCCAACCAGTTTCAAAAAGAAAATCGAGCACCTGGAATTAATGTGAGTCCATGATCTTTGTTTTTTAGAGTCTCTGCATCCACGATTCATTTGTCCTCTGTTCACTATTTACCATGATGCCGACTCGAGACTAGTGCTCTCGCCGAAGAAGTTATGAGATGACTTGTGCGTCGGTTGACCTCGTAAGCTGCTAAATGATCTGGGAAGTCCTCTACCTACGATCTGGGGTGTTTGTTGCTATAGAGGTCTGGAGAGTTGCATTGGTTTGAGTTAGGTTTGCTTGGGGACAAGCAAACAGTTAAGTGTGGGGGGATTTGATGACTCGGTATTTGCACATGTTTTCCCCTTTGTTTCTTGATTGTTTGAGCTTGAATTATCGCGTCTTTGGCCTATTTTATGCTAGGTTGTGTTCCTTTGTCACATTTCAGGTCCTAGCACATAAAGTGAAGCATAGGCGCAAGTTTCAAGTCAATCAGAGATCAATTGACAATTCGGGAGAAGAAACTCGGGCATGACCTGAAGAAGAATGGATTTCTACCCCACTTAATGGACAAAGAATCATGCAAGCTTGTCATGAAAAGAAAGAGGAAGAGACTACGAGCGTCTGGGATCAAACGGCGACTGATTCGGAGTCCGGACGAGGGAGAAACGAAGCATTGAATATAGGGGAACAGGTTCGGCAGTAAAAACACGGGCGCGCCTAAATCAAAACACGGCCGTGCCCATATTTAGGCATGACCGTGTTTTGACCGACGCGACCGAGCGTGTTTTTAACACGGGGGCAAAACACGGGCGGGCAAAACCAAAGCACGGCCGTGCCCGCGACCGTGTTTTGCCCAGAATCGGGTTTTTTAACCCAAATTCGAGCCAAAGGAGAGAGAGAGCTGGGTTTTGGATCCCAAACACCCAAGGGACGAACCAAAGAGAGAGAGGGCGATTTGAGGGCATTCTTGGAGTGGAATTGGAGGATTTCTTCGCCTTGGAAGCTCGAGGAACAAGCCCAGACTTGAAGACTGATCATCTGAAGATTCTTACTGCAGTCTCTCTCTTCTCTATGGAGTAACTTCCCTTCACTTAGGTTTTGAGGAACCCTAGCTATGTCTGTTTGATTGGATGATTGTATGAGTACTTTGACTTGATAATCTTGAGTTCATATTCAATCTATGCATGTTTTCACGATTCAATTCTGCTTTAGTCGAGATTATTGATTCTGCTTTGATCCTATGAGAGCGAATACCTGATTAGGTCAATAGAGCACCATAGATTGATAGTAGTGGATCGATTGCTTTAGTCGAGGGTTGATTCACTGCTTTGTATCGATTGAGAACCTCATTCGATAGAGGGAGTCTAGTTCAGAACGCCTTGATCGATTGTTCTAGAGAAGGATACGTCCCTCTAGGCAATTGACTCAAGAGGGCCTTGTTCCTTTAGTCGAGACTCAAGGTCTAGTCAAGGATTCTCCGCATTGTGAATGAAAGTGAAACAAGTTAGAGATCATCAATCTTTAATCTGGCTAGTGGCTAGGGGGAATCATACCTAAGTGAGTTCCCAACCTGTAATTAGATTAACTTTAACTGTAGTTTGTTAGAGTAGTTTTAGTTCTTTCATCTTAATCTGGTTTGCTAGATAATGAATTGAAGCTGAGTAATAGTAACTCTAGAGACCCGTGGATTCGATATTTATTACTTGAGCCACTATACTGCAGTCCCTTTCATTGGTTACACTTGGCCTTTGTTAGGAGTTGTGTCATAGCGAGTCAGCAGTCTAGTGACTAAGTTTGAAATTCTGCCTTGACAAACTTATAAACGTGAAAGCTCCATGTTCCGAATGGTTCAATATTCTGCCTTGACACTGATGCGTGTAAAATGGATTGGTTGTTATTATAAAAGAGATACAGGATGCAGTGTTGCTTTAAAAAAATTTGTAGCGTAAACGATTTCATATACTAAGACGCATGTAACATAGTATATAACATTATAGTTGAAAAGTGAGACTTGACATCGATAGAAGTTTTACATTGATAGAAGTTTGTCGGTTGAGGTAGAATGTCTTGTTCCTTATAAATATATTTATATCAGGCACTTTCATGACATCGATACCTATGGCCAAGTCACGATGAGGTTATGATAGATCAAGGAAGATCTTATGAGATTTTTGTCGGAGATGATCCTATCACGTGGAACAATTGTTCTTTGTCATTCTAGATGATCAGTGAAATTCGCTAGACAGCTAAAGTACCATAGGTTGTTTTGAGATCCTAATTATTAGTTCACTATCGATTCGGATTATTTGTTGTCTAAATAACCTGATCGATTGATTAAAAAGGCCTCGTATTTTTTGGCCATTAAAAAGGCCTCATGTGAATTCGAACATGCCTTTTGTACCAGGCCCAATAAGGCCCTTAGCAATAGCAGATCGGCGGCACAACGCCTTTTCGCATTATTTGTACTAGCGCAGGGCCCGGCCCGTTGGGCGGGTAAACTAGCCATAGCCACGGTTGGATCAAACAAATACAAAAACCAAAAAAAAAAAAAAAACAATAAAAACCTCCCACCCACCCGAAGACGGTTTAACTCCCTTCTTCCTTTCCCTCCTCCATCGCTCTCACCTACCCTCCAGTCCCTCCACAGAAACCTGACCATCCACATCCCCAACCCGCCATCTTCTGCTTCTCCTGCTTCCCGCTCCCTCCGCAAACCCCGACCCTCCCACTACTCTCGCTCATTCTCCCTCGTCGAACAACCCTGCCGTCGAATCACCACTCGCGCGGACTCCAACAACGGCACCGAGTCACGACGTCACTATTCACTCGCCGGCGAGAAGACCAACTGTCCAACCAAGCCATTGCATGCACTCATGTTCCAGCCCTCCCTGACTGACCGATATTAGTACCATCTCTACATCTCCAGGAGGTAAGTTCTAAAGTCTTACCTCGTAAAGACCCAGCCGAAGACGTTTCAACTCCCTTCCTCCCTGACGCCTTCTTCTGCTCTGCTCACTCTCCGGCCAACAAAGCAACTGGAAACCCATTCCAGTGCATGCACTCATTTTCCAGGCCTTCTCTCTGCCTGATCGACGTTAGTCCTATCTCAGCAGCTCTAAAAGGTAATTTCTAAAACCCTACCTCGGCAAAATCTCCCCTTTCCTCTCATCAAGAACTTCAACCAATTTTTCCAGCCCACTCATCAATTACATTCGCTTGCTGGCCTTCAAATTAGGTTTCTCTATATCTACTACAATCTTATCATCCAGATTTTTTTTTTTTAGTTCGATACTCCAAGGAAATACTTGCAACGCCCACAGGTGAGTTAGCATCCATCCTTTTCTGAACGAATGCGGTTAGCCTATTTAATTCATGGACATGATTAATAACTCATGCTTGGATTTTCGCATAGCATTGATCCATAGTTTAGGACATATATGTCAAAATTATTTAGGTTGATTCTGATTACATAGTGTGTCTTGCAGTTCAACTAAACTTTGTATGTTTGTATAATATGTAGTAGAATTGAGTGATAAAATTCCAGTTACAAATCAAAGAAGAAAACGTCAACAGAAATCAAATATAGGTCCAATTGTAAAATACATCGAAGTATTGACACATTCATGTATTGGGTTGCTATTGTTTGTGTATATTCGGGTTTACATAATTAGTTGATTAGTTTTACAGCTCTAACATTTGTTGATAGAGTTGCTAATATTGCTACTAATCTAAATTATAGATTTTTTTCCATGGGAGACTTCGTTTCAAATCTGCACTATGAAGTTGCCGCAAGAATTTGGGACACTGTAGAAACTATAGATCTTATCCCTATGCAATTGGATGTTGCTAATCAGGTGAATCAGATAACATGTATTTTATCTATCCGGAATCTATATTTTATCTAAAGAATTTGCATCTAATTTGGTCTTATTTTGAACTCCTTATGTTTTGGCTTGTACCAGGGCAAGTCATACATTTTCAATGGCTTTGTCACAGAATTGAGGAGATCTTGGCATGCCGCATCCAGCATATACTTGCTTCACTTGACAATTGAAGATTTTATCACCGATATTGAGGTCGTATTTCCATCAGCTTACTTACGGCGAGTCATGTCTGCTGTTGTTGGTCCTGATGAGATGGAAGATGTGGAGTACATTCCACTACTCAACATGATTGGTGAGACGCCATATAAGGTCTTGGTCACATTCGGACCTTGGAACAACGTGGAGAATCGTCTTGATCTCTTCTTGGTTAAGTTGTTCCCGATTTTAGATGACTAAGTAGCGTAGGGTATTATTAATATAATCGGATTAATGGTAGTAATGGTCCACCTCGCTCTAATTTCGAATTATCTAACCGCGTAATGGATATGTGAACGCAAATATTTTTTGAAAGGTTATTATCCTTTTGAGGTGGTCCTTCATGTAACCATATTTTGAGCATCATATAATTTTGCTCTTTGTTTACTGTCACCTTCCTTGCTATTTGTTAATTCCTTTTAAATTGTTGTACTCTAGAGTTTAGAGTTGGAACTCACTGCCAATGCATTTAGGAAGCCGCCCAAACAAAATAAAAAAACCCCCACAGGCCCAATTTAGATAGGTGAATTTGGAATGTATCAGCCCGCCTGGGTGTAGTCATTTGCCATGGGTTTTGGCAAAACTCTGGGCCCGATTAATTCATGAGCCACATAGGGAATAAGCCCATTTTTCCAGCTAAAATATAGCATTTAAAATTTAGTCTTTAAAAAATGTTAAACTGTCATTGTATATATAATATTGGTAATAACAGAATTGTAAATTCGACAATTGTATTAATGTTTTCCTAAAATCGTCAGATCCCTTGAGTAAGCTATGAGTACAAACTTTTCTTTTCATCAGTGGCCAGATACATAAGCTCAATGCATAAAAACATATAGTCCATTGCTAGGGAAATTGCCTTAACAAAAATAAATAGCCAAACATGACGCCTAACAATTGTCCATAAAAAATATAAACTGTAATCATAAGTTAAACCTGAATTGAAGTTCATAACAATTGTCCTTCCTCAGTGAAGGGGCTTTCGATCAATATCTCGTTTTCTTTAAGCTCAATTTCCTTCTGGTGTTCCAAACTATAACCAAACATTCCCGAAACCCTAATTGCTTTCTATCCCAGAGTTTGATTAGTGATTTGCAGAAAAGAAGAGCAGGAATCAACAGCGTCGACAATTTTTTCCAGCACACTCATAAAGTACAGTCGCCCGCTATCCTTCAACTTTGCTTTCTCCCGATCTACTAAAATCTTAGCATTCAGAAAGTTTTTGAGGAAGAGACTCCCAGAAAATACTTGCGAGCTCCACCGGTGAGTTAGAATGCATGCTTTCTAATACAATGTAGTTTGCCTATTCAATTTAGAGACATGATTAATTGTTATTGCTTCGATTTTAGCATAGCATTGATCCATAGTTGAGGATATATATTTCAAAATTATTTAACTTGGATCTGATTACGTAGTGTGTGTTGTATAGAAACAAAACATT